TAGAATCAGAAATAGTCGAGCTAGAATCCTTATGCGTGGCAGGACTAGTGATTGAGTCAGAATCATTATGAGTAGCTTGAATAGTTAGATCGACGAACTCATCAACGTCGAAGATATGAGTTCCTTGATTATATGGAGAAGAACCCATTGATAATGGGCTGTATTCGGCCACACTTTGGGGATGTCGATCAGAAATCTCAACCTAAAAAGAGAAAATATATTAGTAAGATGAATCCAACGAGTTAAATGAGAGTGGGATAGGTGATTACCTGTGCCGACAAGTGAATATTGACATTTAAATTCTCTTCAACAGGGAAAACAACAATGGTCCCGGTTGGCCCTGAAGCTCCAACAATCTTGGGGGGAGGAAGTGGGTCAATAATTGTTGTGTCCACCACTATGGTATCAATAGCCAGATCAGGGCTAGCCTCAACGTCATCGGCCAAAGGCGCATTGGTTTTATTTTTCTTCTTTTCTACTCCACTCTTGGCAGGAGAATCTTTCTTCCTTTTGTGGCCTTTGGATTTTTGGGAACGATGAGGGGACTGAGTATCAGGAGATGGCTGAAGACATTAGAAGGAAATATAAGTTATTTAAAAAAATAAAGGGTAGCTAAGCCGACAAAAATACCTATGTCCCCATAGTAGAATGATGCTTTTCCTTCTTGGACCTTTTGGATTTGGTGGAGGGAGTAGTCAAATCTGTCGAACGGTTTTGACTTTGCAAATAGATGAAGTGTTAGCAACCGTTCAAACCATAAGGAAAGTTGAAGAAATGGCGTACAAACATACGTATTGAAGAATTGGGTTTCTTAAGAACAGTCGGAATGGTGTCATCATCAGAGGGAAATTTATCAGGAGTAACCTACGAGGTTTGAAAATTGGCTAAGTGTATGATGCTAAAAAAAACAAGAAATCATCAAAGTTCAAACCTGAACCTTTTCTGTCGAAGGACTAGTCTAATCGACAGGAGCACCCCTTGGTCTATTTGAATGGCTGTAAGGAAAGAACAATCAAATAAGTAACAATATCCTAAAGAGTAAGGGGGTAAGATTTCCAAAAAAAGATTACCAGCTTGCATGGTATAACGTACTCTAACATATTGAGGATCAATATGAAGAGACCCTTAGTAGTTGGGTAGATAATGCTTCGTTGATACCACTCTCTAGGCCTTTTTCTTATAAGCATTTTCAATATCTGACCAAGGGCTATACCACCAGTAAGGAATAGGTGGGCCAAAGGCCAAAGTCAAGGGGCTAGATGGCAAAGGAGGAAATTTATTTTTTCCAAAATGAAGGGCGTAAAGATACTTATCTTTCGCGTAACCAGGAATTTTAAGTTTTGGGATCCTATCGGTTACCTTCTCCTTTAATTCTTTGGTTGCCTAAAAAATGGTCCGATGAAGATCATTAGGTCGATACACAACTCGGAAATACTGCTGTAAAGCTTGAATTTGTTTGGCATGAGTAGTCTTACATTTGGATGCCTTCGCCTGTAAATTGGTAAAAGCTTCGGTTAGTTCAACTAGCTTTGCCTCAGGGGAAACAACATATGCAGTAAGATATAACCGCCACCAAGTTTCAAATTCCTTGGTACAGTAAAATGCATGTTGAAAAGGGATAGAACCAAGCTTAGGCCTGTTTTCCCAAAAATTCTCGACGTCTGCTCTGAAGACGTCATAAGGTTGATCGTTGGTGATGTTAAAAAGCAACTTAAAGGAGGGAAATAAAGATTTGGGGATAAACTGACAGAGACCAAATTATCGAGCCACTAAATTAGGTTGGTAAGAAACCAAGCCTGTAGTGGTGCCAACAGTTACAGCTGAAAGAAACTGAGGAACCAAAAAACGCCTCCAGATAGCTAAAGAATTACTCTTGTCTTCATTTCTTGGAGGAGGAAAAGCTCTATTAAACCACTCGGGGCCATCAGGTCTATTACATAAAAGAGCCATTGAAGGTTCAAAATCGACACGAGTCAACATGATGTTGAACAAGAGTCAAAATACCTCGACGCTGGGTGAAGTTTTATCACCAGGGGTCATAGGAATTAGGCGTTTCCAAACAACATGACATTCAACTGGAGGACACGCCACCATTCTCATCCCATATGATCTAATATCTTTAGAGAAAGTGGCATTGAGCCACAATTGTAAGAACCAAAAGGGGCCATGGATCAAAATGTTATTCTTCTTAGAGTTGGCTGGGTCAAAAGTTTTGATTTGAGAAACGACATCAGATAATGACTCATAAAGAGAAGCCAATATCAGCTGGCCCAAAGCAATATCACGACCTTGATGTAACTGAGTAGCCAAATATGAAAATTGTTTGGCTATCTGCATAGACCTTGAACAAAAAACAAAGTGAGACAACCATAAGGTCAGAAACGCTACATGCTCTTCAGGAGTCACATGGCCCAAGGTCTTGGCATGATAGTCGATGAAGTTATTATACGTCAGTTTACCAGAATCACCTACATCAAACTTCAAAGATATGAGGTCTGCATCCCTATGATTGAATACTCAACCAGTCGGTTTTAATCCAGTAATGACAGCAATGTCTAAAAGTGTGGGAGTAATCATACCACACTTCGTATGAAAGGTATTGGTCGAACCCTCCCAAAATTGGATTGCAGCCATCAGCATACCATAGTAATAAGGAGGACCACAACAAGATATTTGTAAAAGGGTGTAGATACCTAAATTTTGCCATTAATCAAGTTTTTCTGCTTCTAAATGTGTCATCCAAGCATGAAACTTAAGGCAATTCCTAAGAGGAGCAATCCTAAAGTTTTAATCTACATAGTGTAGTGACAAAGGCTGTTCAAGAGAAACCAGTGGTTTAGTAAGGTAACTGGTTGGGAATGATGCATGTTTATCCATATAAATCTTTAGTTTACGTTCTTCAGGAAGAGGACCTAGAAATGCCAGAGGTTTATCATCTAGATAGAAATGGATTAATACATGCGATTGCCATATCTTTGTTTTTTCTTCTGAAAAAGGTGGCTCAATAACATACTCCTTCCCATCAATAAGGAGTGGATGTGGAAGTGTTACAGAAGAAGGAATGTTTCTACTGAAGTTTTCCATTTGAAAAGACAGAGAAGCTTGAAGAAGAAAAAGATTGAAATTTTTTTGTAAAGACAGAACGCGTTGAGTCAGGTTGAAGAGAAGAGTCAAAAAGAGAAGAAATGGGTTTTATAGAAAGAAAACTCTAAATAAAAAGGAAAAGAAAATAATCAAGAAAAACGATTAAAATTTCTTTTTCCCAACTCCTCAAATTCGTGTCACGTAATTTTTGGACACGTGGTGAGAGAGGGTACAAAGATGGTGGGCCACGTCTCCCACTAAGAAAAAGAAATGATGGAGAATTGATAGCTGCACGTCTCGAGGATAAGGTGTGATACATTATCATTATGGCACGACGTCATGAGTAAGGGGGAACAATTACGCCAACTAAGAGAGAAGTGGAAGCGATTGAGTTGTTGGAAGAATGGTCGACATTTCAAAGATGCCATTGTCTCATGTTGGCCAAAATTAAAAAATGGCTTCTCCGGGGGGCATTTTGTTACCTTAAAAAATCTTTAAGGTATATATTACGTAATTAATGAGGGTAATCCCACGAGTTAAGGAGAAGGTATCCTACAAATAAAGGTTGTAAGGGAATCAAACTCAAGAATGAGAAATAGTTGGCAGCGAAAAGTCGACACAATTGACAAACAAGTTAGTCGAAGTTTGGTCTTGTCGACCAAGTTGACATCAGTCAAAGTTTGGTCTTGTCGACCAAATTGAAATCTGAGACTTAGAGAAGTTTAGATCATCTATCTACTCTAAAGAATGACGTTGAACTGAGTGCTGGAGCGGAATAATTTTGAAATTTGAAAATACCAGCAGTTGCAAGATAGTTTTTTAAATCAAGCGCCAAATACGTGGTGAAAATATAGATAAGCAGTTACCTTAGGCCAAATACGTGTCAAGTGTATAACGTGTTCTAGTACGTAGGCAATTAGATTCGTAACTACTATAAATAAAAGAGTCCAGTGTAGGATTCACGTGTGTTCACTTTGTACTAGAATCACTTAACAAACTCCACATTCCAAGTGTAAGGAAGTAGAGGGTCTCAAAGGTGTGAATGTACGTGAATCACCATCTTTATGTCAATGCAAATTCCTTTCTTTTCAGTTGTTCCTTTTGAATCTTTTGCTTTGATTTTATTTACTTTTGAATAATTCTTTTATATATCATCTACGCTTTTGAAACTCATTCCATCTCTATACTAGAATTTACTAAAGAATCACTCAATATTTATTTCATTTAAATAAGTCGTAACCTACTGTCGGTCACGAGTCACCTTCAGTCAATCAAAACATTACATTGTGAAAACTCATACTTGTTCTATCCTTCAGAGAAAACCGTTTCTCAAAAAGCAAAGTCTTATGTCGGTTGAACAAGTTATACTTACATACATCAACACATGTCTTATGATCAACTAATCGATCTTACAAATAATTCTTAGTTTTTAGACTTTGAAAAAACTAACGGTTATTTATCATTTTCCATAATAAACAGCAGCGCAATTGAAAAAACTAATTCCAAAATTAATTATAGAGATTGTAGAGATTAATTAATTGGAACGCAATTGTAAAAAAAGTAGATTAATTCTTGGAGCGCAATACCTTGTGATCCCTTACTATGTGATCCAAGTGCTATTGGATCTAATAACAACGTATGTTACTGACTATACACAATAATCAACCTTTAATTAATTTAGTTTTAATATTTTAATAATTATAATATTTAAATTAAACAATTGGAAATAAAAAAAAGGTAAAGGGGAGTGTCCAAATTGTTTGGCAATACCATATTGGAAAAAAACCATAAATAAGGTCAATTGGAAATTGTCTTAGAATGAAAAATAAAACTCAAAATTAAACACACGAGCTCAAACAAACACATGAACACAACACTGTCGTTTTCTTCTCAATTTCTAGGGTTTCGCAAATTCCATGGGTGTTTCCTTCAAGATCTCCAAAACTGGTTCTAGGTTTCGCCCCAAGCTTCTTCCCTCCCCTCTTCAACCTTCCCAGGATGACCAATCACACAATTCCAGGTCTCAGGTAATCAATTTCCCCAATGTACAATCCATCTCATTCGCTTCAAATTTTGCAGAATTTCACTAATTGAACTCTCGGCCTATTGCTATTTCGTTTCAAAGTTTGTGTTTTTATCGTTATGTTTATTATATATGGTGTTTCTGTTTCTGTGTCTTGTTTTGGGTGATCCAAATAGGAAATGATTCAAATAATATAAAAAGCTGAAAGCTTTGTGTGTTTTGCTTTTTAATTTGTACATTGTTGTATGTAATTTGACTAGATTCAATTGAATTATCAATACAATGAAGGAATTGCTCAATGGTATAGAATTTTAAGTGACTTTTATTGATTGCTTTGAGTTTTTATTTTTGTTTATATACAGAGTGATCTTGTTGAGGCAGGTGAAAACATTGCTGGGAGGCCGAATGCACCCGTTTTGTCTGAAACTGTTTCATTAGCAGGTCAGTGAGTCATCAGAGTTTATTGGTTACTTTACTTCTGTATAAAGAAATTCAGTTCTGAGTGTTGTGGTGGTTGTTTTGACAGATAGGGAAGCTTCATTTACGTTGAATTTGTTCCCGGATGGTTATTCTATTGGAAAACCCTCCGAGGTTTGCCCAAAACTACTGTTAATGTTTTCTTAGATTGTGTGGTGTTTTAGTTCTACCAGTTTGTTTTCTAAGGTATGTAATTTATGAATTTTCAGAATGGTGCGGCAAATCAGTCATTTCCGAAGCTGTTACTTCCATATGATAGGTCATCCGAAACCCTTTTCTTGGTAATTCTCTTGAAATTCTGTAATGTTATTTTTTTTTTCTTCAGTTTTGACTTTTCTGTTCTAAAACCTCACAGTTATTGAGTGAGACTGTTGGTCAAAACCCAAGTCCCACGTTTGCTAGAGATATGAACTGGACAAAGTTTATGTAGCTTAGACAATCCTCAACTTATGTTCTTGCAGAGTTGAGTTATGCCCTAAATCCTGAGGGGCATTCAACACTTTGTACATTTATATTAAGCATTGCTATGAATGGAAAGTCTCATATTGTGTTTTCAAGATTTTTGGCATGATTCAATTAGTCTTAAAAGAATGGTATAATTTCATTGTTTGAGTTGGATGCTGCTGGGTTTGAGTTACTTGTTTCCACCTTCGTACATACATTATGTACCTAAAAAACGGAAACATGAATAGGACCAGAAAAACAATGCTTTTCTCTGCGTCCTTTCCTTGTGTTGCTTTAAATTTAATTCCTTGTCTAAATCACCACCTTATGTTTTCTTAAGTTTTTAATTTTATTATTTTTGTTTTCTCTGCATATATGTTATGTGTTTCATGTACTTACTTTCCTATTTCTTTGTCATTGTGTGTTTGGAGGCGATCGAGTCAGGTCACTTGCCTGGGGATATTCTGGATGATATACCTGCCAAATATGTTGATGGGGCAATTATATGCGAGGTGAATCTTATTTATTTTTGGCATGCTTTACTTTTATAGGCAACATTTAAATTTCCATCCTTTGTTTTGTTAAAAAATAACTTAAGATTGCACAAATTTTCTACTGGCTTTTAGTTTCTTTTGTAGTGTTGACAATTCATTGAAGATTACCAATTATACAATACTCTTTGTGCGTGAGGAGCACTTTCTCATTGACATCCCTTTTGATTGTTGATATGCTTTATGTGCCATTTTGTGCTTTTTGCATTTTTTAGTTTAGTTTTGCAAATCGCCACATTTACCAAATTTTATCACCATTTTATATATACTTTTAATGTTGCATACTGTTTATAAGGTTGAGCTTTGTAACCATTCTGTAACACACCAGGTGCGTGATTATCGAAGGTTCTCTTCTGAAAAGGGAGCTGGCACGGGGTTCGCAGATAGTTCCCCAACTATTGATAAAGTATGCCTCAAGATGTCATTGGAAAATATTGTGAAGGATATCCCATCTATTACTGATAAATCTTGGACATATGGTGATTTAATGGTGAGTATAATTCACGTATCACGAATGCCCAATTCCTATAATTTGATCGTTTATTCGGTATTAATCTCACTTAATTATATTCCCATTGGTAATAGGAAGTTGAATCGAAGATACTGAAAGCATTAAAGCCAAGCCTTCATCTAGATCCTACTCCAAAATTGGATAGGCTGTGTGAAAGTCCAGTTTCAACAAAGGTATAAACAAGTTAGATTCTCTCCTAATGAATTAATTGTATGGATGTATGCATCCTAATGACGATGAACTTGTGTTTCAGCTTAACTTGCAGAGAAAGCGATTAAGGAATATCCTAGAGTTTACTGTTACTTCTAGTAATAAAACCCATGGGAAAAAAGTATGTATAGATAGAGTACAAGAGAACTCAAATAGCAGGTTGGGTGATCCAGGAATCACTACATCTAATGCTACCGGGCAACAGACTCTTGAAAATCCAGCAATGCAAAATCTTAATTCAAGCATTGTCATGGCCATGAGATCTAAGAATATTATACCAGATTCTTCCATCCCTGGATTTTCTATGATGTCTCATCAATCGAGATATCCAATGACTGTTGGAACTCCAAGAAGCTTGCAGGAGCATGGATCGATTTCTGGTATTAATTCATCTGGGGCTTCTCCTGCTGCCCAAGATGTCATGATTTCCTACGCTGATAATCCAAACGCAAGTGTCTCTCTTCATGCAAAAAGAGAGTATCCGGATGGACAATCATCACCTTTATCGAATATTGCAAAAAGAATGAGGTCTGCTCCCACAGGTGTTGATGCAATGCAGCAGCAGCAATTAGGCTCACATGTTGACGCTCTTCAAGGATCAGATATTAACTGGCAGAATACACTGTTACAGCAACAAGCAATGGCCAGAGGTATTCAGTATAACAGCGGTGGCATTCAGAAGTTTCCCCAGCAGGTTTTTGAAGGAGGGTTAAATCAAGAAACTGGGGCTATTCAATTTGCTTCTGGTCAGCAGGGCATGAGGTTAGTTGCCAAGGAAGAACAATTTGAAATGGAAAGAATTGACGGTGCAGGGATAAATCGAAATAAAAGTGAGTTGGAGATGGATGCAAGCAATTTAGACCCACAACAATTACGACTTCAGCAAAAATTGCCACATCATGCATTCATGAGACCTAATTTCCCACAGACAACCTGGAATAGTCTGGGCCAGCAAATTGAGAAAGAAGCCAAAAAGGAGGATCAGTTTCAGAAAAGGAAACAAGTACAAAGTCCTCGATTATCTAGTGGGACATTACCTCAGTCGCCATTATCTTCAAAATCTGGTGAATTTTCTAATGGTTCAGTTGGACCAAGTTTTGGACCATCTTCAATGAACACTGCACCTGGAGCATTACAAAAAGAGAAGGCAGCAATGGCTTCACTTTCTTCTGCTGTTGGAACTCCATCTTTGACTTCTAGTGCTAATGATTCTACTCAAAGGCAGCAACAGGCACAACTAGCTGCAAAACGCAGATCTAATTCCCTTCCCAAGACCCCAGCAATGAGTGGAGTTGCTTCTCCTGCTAGTGTTAGTACTGGTGTCCCATTCAATACAAATAGTCCCTCCGTTGGAACCTCAGCCTTTTCTGAGCAAGGTCTTCAAACTACCTTAGACAGATTTTCAAAAATTGAAATGGTGACAGCGAGGTATATACTTTTTGCATTTTAAAACAGCATCTGAATATGTTTTCAAATTTCACAAAGCGTATTACCATTCTTTCATTTAATATAACCTATGGACTTTTAAAGGCATCAACTTCACTTCAAGCCGAAAAAACCGGATCAGCCCATTAAAAAGCAGAATACATATTCATCACAGCGTGTAGCAGCTCATCTTGCAAATGCAACTAATAACGAGGGATTGATAGACGAGTCCAGTTCTTTGTCAAAGTCACTCTTAGGTGGTAGTATGAATGCATGCAAAATGAGAGTGTTAAGTTTCATTTGGAATGAGCGTGTAGTTCAAGGTTTGTTGCAAATATTGCTCAGTCTCTCATTCTTGATAATGTATAGTTATTTCTCTTGTCTAACACTCACTTTCTTGTACAGGAAATGTCACGACTTTAGTTCCCAGGTTTCGAACTAGGTTGATAATGGCTGAAAAGCCATCTGATGGTACAGTGGCTCTGCATTACGGGGACATAGATGAAAGCGATTTCATAGCTGCAGAAGATCATCTCCCTACATTACCCAATACTGTAAGTTTCATTACATTCATTTTTGTATTATATGTATGTTGCGGGTTTACATCTGAAGTTAGTTGAACGGAAATGTTTGAGATATCATTTACCTTTTTCCACCTGTTCTCTGGTTAAGCCATCTAAACATTCATTTCCCATCTATATTTATCATAGCTTTTCTTCTTAACCCTTTTGAGGAGTCATTTTCCATTATATCACTTTGCTACCTTGCATTTCTCCCCGAATATTTTGGCCATAATATTTACTTTCGCTTCCTCGGTACACATTTTTTGTTAAAGGCATAATTTATTCCCACTTGTTATTCTAGAATATAGTTTTTGTATGTATAGTTTCTCAATTTCTCCACATTAACATGATGTATTAGTCATTGTCAACCATGAAATCACTATCAAAAGTTCATAAACTGTCAGAGTTATTGTAGCATGCATATAAATTTCTTGTCTTTCAATATAATAGAAAGGAGTTTCTGCAAGTTTTTTGTTCTGATTTATGAAACCAATTTTGGACAGCATTTTGCGGATTTGCTTGTCGACCAGTTCTGTTCACAGGTATGTTACTCTGTTTGCGCTTGAACCATATGAAGGACAAGTCTTTGTCAAATTGATTTTTATTAGTAAAGAATCTGTCTCCTGTAGATTGAACATGAAGGATATGCTAAGGAAGATGACAGAATCCAACTCAGACCAAACCGTGTGAACCTTCCATTGGGCAGTCAATCTAGTTTACCTCCTAATGAGATGCAGCAATATGGAGAACCGAATCTGGGCCAGTCATGTAATGATATGGCAAAACTAGCTAGTGGCAGTAATGCATCTTTAAGCATGTCGCAGAATCTGGTAGCAAACGCAAGGATGTTGCCACCCGGAAATTCTCAGGCTTTGCATATGTCCCAAGGACTTCTCTCTGGTGTCTCAATGGCTCAAAGACCTCAGCAACTGGACTCACAACAACAAGCAGTTCAGCAGCAGCAGCAGCTGCTGCAACAAAATCAACAATCTCTCATTCAACAGCAGAATCCACAGTTCCAGCGATCTTTGCTCAGCGCAAATCAGCTTTCACACTTAAACGGGGTTGGACAGAACTCCAACATGCCATTGGCTACTCACTTGCTGAACAAGGCCTCGCCTCTTCAGTTTCAGTTGTTACAGCAGCAGCAGCAGCAACAGCAACAGCAGAGCCAACAAATGCAAAGGAAAATGATGGGACTGGGAACAGCTATGGGAATGAGTAGCTATAGAAATAGCCTAGTTGGGCTTTCACCAATGAGCAATGCCATGGGAATTGGAGCTGCAAGGGGAATGGGGGGAACTGGAATCTCAGCACCGATGGCGCCGATTGCTGGCATGGGAAATATGGGTCAGAACCCAATGAATCTTGGCCAGGCTTCGAACATTACTAATTCTATAAGCCAGCAATTTAGGCCTGCTGACATTTTATCAAAGATTAAAATGGTACAAAATCGAGAAAGCATGTTAGCTTCACCTCAGTCTACCATTGCTGGCATGTCAGGAGCCCGGCAAATGCACCCCAGCTCAGCCAATCTTTCAGCGTTGAGTCAGTCTCTGAATAGAAATACTATGAGTAACCTGCAGCGAGCAATGGGTCCTATGGGCCCACCAAAGCTTATGCCAGCAATGAATCTTTATATGAATCGGCAACAGCAGCAGCAATACCAACAGTCCCAACAGCAGCAACAACAGCAACAACAACACCAATCACAACAACCGCAGTTGCAAATACAACATCCACAGCAGCATCATTTACATCAGCAGTTGCAGCAGCAATTACAGCAACAACAGCAGCAAGAAACATCTTCGCAATTGCATACAGTTGTTTCACCGCCACAGGTGGGATCACCATCTACTATGGGAGTTCCACCCTTGAGCCAACAAACACTTCAGCAAGCAAGCCCTCAGCAAATGAGTCAAAGAACTCCAATGAGCCCTCAGCAGATGAGCTCGGGGGCAATTCATGGCATGAGTACTGGTAATCCTGAAGCCTGTCCAGCAAGTCCTCAGTTGAGCTCTCAGACACTAGGCTCTGTTGGTAGCATAACCAATTCCGCTATGGATATGCAAGGTGTTAACAAGAGCAATTCTGTCAACAACAACAATGCACAGTGAAGTTACAAAATCTAGAAAGTTCAAAGCCACTTTCTAACATAGGAAGGGAATGATGACGAAAATTTTAGCTCCAAAATCCCTACTATAAAATGACATGATTATTTATACAAAATAAATCATATGTTACGGGGAATCACATATATTGGTATTTTTCTTTTGGTCTAGTTATGCCAATCACATATATTGTTAGTTGTGTATATATATATATATATATATATTTATTTATTTCCCCCCTACACTCATTGATTATCCCAGGAATTTTTGGGCATTTAGGCCAAACTTAGCATGTGCTATATGGAATTTGTAGAACGAACCGTATTAGTTTTAATGTATACAACTAGTTCCATAACTTTGCTCTCATGTTCAATTTGCAGTTAATATGATGCTGTAAAAACCGTTGACAGTTTCATTCTTTTGGGCTCTATTTATAAAAGTCTTTGAAAAAATTAGGCAACCCTTATACCTTCTCCAAGGCTCCTGGTGAAATGTGAAAATTGTCCTCTGTTATCGGAGATATATTTCCGGACGCATCAAATCTTATTTTTTACTAAATGAAATTCAAAGATGAATCTGCCGAGTTTTTTTTAGTGTGTTCTAAGATATTTTTTAGGGTGTGTTCTGAGATATATCTCAGAACATGATCTGGTTCTAGCAAAAACAAAAAACATGACGAAATCAAAATAAAAAAGCAAATCAACACCAACATTACATTAAATAAAAATATTTATTACATATAGAAAATCATTAAAATAAATTTAACATTATATATTGTTTACATTGGAATGTTGCAACACAATGATTATATCTTTAACAGATCTTTGAATCTTCGTATCGACTTCAATTAGACCCTTTGATTGTTAACGGAGAAAAACACCCTCATAACTCTTAAATCTTCATTTATCTTTAGTTCAAAGTTGGTAAAATGGACATTTCTTTTGCTGTCATACGAGGGTGACCGATGCTCGAGCTTGACAACTCTGCGATTTTCTAGAAAGCGTAGGCGAGTATTCAATTGGATATTAGATCTGTGAGGGATGTATCTTCGGTGATCCTAAACGGAATTGACGACTTCTCGCCATTGAAATCACAAATGCAAGGTGTGGGATATGAATTTATTATCTGATTTTAGTGTGTTGTGTAAAAAACAAGGGGGATTTCTTAACCCACCTATGTGGTTGAAAATAACCCTATGAAAATTCAAAAATGCCTATTGGTTCTCGAAAATATATTTTCGAGATGCAATCCACATACATATAATTTAATCGTTTTTGAAATATATCCTATTTTATGACTTAATTTATTCAGAAAATATATTTTTGGAAGTTTTCGGAAATATATTTCTAGTTCTTATTGAACTATTGTTATTTTTCATGATCTAGGAATATGATACCATTTATGTGTAGGTTCTCCACAATTTGTTCTACATTTTGCATTAGTAAAAGTTCAGGCATAATCACATTCACCACAATTACCATGAGCAATATATCCATGCCAACAACGACAGATGCTTTGATTATATATAATTTAATTATGTGAAATTAAAATGTGTTTGGAAATGAACCTCATATATAAGTAAAAAGAAGTGGTTTTTTTAATGAAAAATAACAGTATTTAATAAGAATCGAAAATGTATTTCCGGAAACTTTTGAAAATACATTTCAGAAATAAATTTAAACATAAAAATAGGGTGTAACGGCAAAACGATTGAATTATATGTGTAGGATGTTTCCGAAAATACATTTTCGAAATCTAGGGATATTTTACAGAATTTCGCACGGTGCGCTAGAAAGTTAAAGGGTGTATTAAGAAATTCTCAAAATAAGGGTTCAAACTCATCCTATTTATATAAGTATTGAGCCACTTTAGACCTCAAAAACCTTATAATGTATCATGTAAATTTTCAAAAATATATCTCCGAATAAATCATACTTTTTGATTTCGGAGATGAATATCCGAAAATTTAAATGATGGTTTTTTTAAATAAGTGAGGTTAATTCAGATATGTATATCCGAAAACATACCCGAACCAGAAAAAATCAGAAACTTAGTTTTCAAGTACATACAATGCGAATCATAAGTCAAACTAGAAAATTAATAAAAAAATACACCGTCATTGCCGAGATTATATATTACTTATGTATTAAATCGTGTCAAGATTACATCGTTGATGATAATACATACAAAAAGTGTAACAATTACAATCTAAAATACAATAAAAGACACAATACCGCATAAATCTACAATTGATTCCGCCTTCCACTTTTCCTGATTTGATTCTCTTTAAGCTCACTAAATTTGGTGAACTCTAACATCCTCTCCAGAAATTGATCTGGCCAACTTTCCACCACATTTGTTGAACGTGTCATCCACTCCACATATGTAGCTGGTATTGGACACCGAGGTTTCAAATAAACTTGAACAAAATGAAGCGATTTTGAAAATCACCATACACATATGATGCGTTCGGAAGGGTCTTTAAGTGGAACACTCCATAGTGGAAAAAATATCTCGAAGAATCCATTAAAGGTGTGAAAAACACAAGAAAGGGGAGGTTTGAATTGAGTTTTAAATTAAAAACTTTTCTTTAAAAATATCCCCTTTAATTGAAAAATATTTTCTTCACTTATTGATAATAAAGATAAGAAGCAGGAAGTAAAGAACAAAATATGTTTATACTAGTTCACTTGAAAACTATCAAGCTAGTCTAGTCCATCCACCAAGGTGATTTCACCTTTCTCAACAAGGTCTTAATCTAATAGTCAAATAGATTATTACACTGTACAAGCTAACTGCAAGTAACTAACGTTACAACTTCTAAGACACACTAACCTTAGACTTCTTAAGGATTTTGACCAACTGGTCCCTTAAGGTACAATCAAACAACAGTTTGAACAAAGTTTGTTTACAAAAGATATGCTTCTAAACAAGCGGATTAGTAAACAATAGTTCAAGAATTTAGACTTAAGAATAAGAATGCAATGAACAGTCTTGTAAGAACGTGAACTAGCAGCCATTCCTTTAGTTTTCAAGCCTTTATATAGCCAATAAAATAATATATCTGTTGGAGGGTATTTCTGAAACTTCCAGAAAGTTGGCAGCTTGAATCATAATGGGGGACAAGATCGTACAACACGTACTTCCTTCATGGTAGTGAAATGAAATCTTTTGTTTATACATGTACTATGTGTAACATTATCTTCTTATATTCTAGACTTTAGAGGCTTCTATTTAAGCATGAGTTGGAAGAAGGAAAATAACTCTTGGGTCATCAGAAATTCAATTCTTCAAAGTCTTCAAAACTTCGTCTTCAAAATCTTCAACACTTGATCTTGAGAACTCTTTGTCTTCAGAAACATAAGTCTTCAGCATCTAGACTTCAGTCAGAACTTCTGTCTTCAGATCTTTAAAACTTGGTTTCTTGAACGTGTATCAGAGTCACAACTTCAGAGCCTTTTGAAGCGTTTTTCTACTGTTAATTAGAAATTGTGTAGCGCAGAAGCGAGACTTCTTCTCTTCTAATGTCTTGGCAGCGCCGTTTATTAGAAGCAGAACTTGTTTGTTAAATTTTAAAAATAACAAACATTATATTACCAAAATTGTTTATACAAACATACTCTTTGTTATCATCAAAACTTAGAGATATAATTGCAGAATCAAATCTTGTTCTAACAATCTCCCCCTTTTTGATGATGACAAAACTATGTATTTTGATGACATAATTTTGTACATAATCAGAAGAAGTAAAAATAAGAAGGGTGAGAAACACTTATCCTTTATATGAAACTCCCCCTGAATCTAAGACTTGATGAAGATTGTATATCCTGATTATGAACCATTTGATTAAAACTCCCCCTGATTGCGATAAATCAGATATAAAAATCTTGAAAGTCTTGATTATTGAAGCCAATCATGCCAATTGAGATCTTGAAACTTTAGCGTCACAAAGACAAATTCTAGATTCTCAATTCAGAGCCTGATTATGAACTTAACCTTCTCAGAGTCTGATTCTAAAAGTTAGACAAAAGCCTTTTAACACTTTCGGATCTCAATTTCAATAAGAGTTCAAGATTCCTGAAAAAGAAAGCAATTCTAACAGAAATAGAATTTGGTTAGAATGTAAGCAGCTCTTTTCAGAGACGTTTTCCAGAATTTGATTATCATAATCAAAATATTAGTTTCAGTTATTTACTCCCTCTTTTTGTCATAATAAAAAAAGGTAATTATGTGTGAAAAACATAAAAACAAGAAGTAAAAGAAAAGAATCTAAGAAGTGAAAAACGAAAGTAAAACTTCATTGAATTCAAGAAAGAAAAACATTAGAAGTAAGAAAAACAAAAGAAACAACCAAAGTTCTATGGTTCAGAGCAAAAGGAAAAATTCCTAAGAGTCTAAGTTCTAGAAGAGGATGGAGCAGGACCAGAAATCTTCTCCAGAATCAGTTGAAGCATGTTATGAACATAATCATTAACCATCTTCTATTCATTGATGCTCAGTCTGAATTCTTGTTTTTCTTCTCTAATTCCACCCATTGCATTATCTAGACGCACAATGGCTGGATCAGAAGATGATACAACCAAAGCCTCTTAACTTGCCTTTTATGCTTTATCAGCTTCTTGAGCCAACCTGGCTTCTTCAGCAATTCCAAAATCTTCTTCTTGAGCTTTGATCCTGGATTCCTTTGCTTCTATCAGTGCTCTAACTTCAGCTTCTATTTACTTTGCAACAAAAAGTTTAAAGACTCAGATTCTTTCTTTTTCTTCTTCCCTTTCTGTTACCATCTGAACTCCAACAAGTCTGGATGCTTCAGAAAAGGTCTTCAACCTTTCAAATTCAGAGGACATCCATTTATGAAACAACTTCCAGAAATCATCCAAATCTTGGGGCTTAATACTAGTACTTGCCTCGTCTCTTAGCTTTGCAACCTTATTTCTAGCCTTGTTTCTAAACATGTTAATGCATTCATCCAAGGTTTTTGGAACATGCTTTTCATAAATAATTAA